TGCCATCCGTATACGAATGCAATGCAACGCAACGAATAACAAAAGGCCTATCGAAGCTTTTAGAGCATTTTATTATGAACCGTTAGATGCGTAGATATCAAATACTACATCTGTACATAATACATATTTCGATTGTGCTTTTATGCTTTGACAATTCATTACATATACATACATACATACATACATACATACATACATACATATGGCTAACAGTGAGCTGCATGACTGCCCAGCCAGCCTACAAATTTGTTATCATCTTCACGGATTTCTGTGTGTTGGTGGTGCGTAATCACTCGCCTATGTATGCATGTACCGTTGTCTCAACACTCCAGCTACTATTAGCGACTAGGTATGCATTACATGTGTATGCCATTTGATTTGTGACTCTTTGATTTGTTTGCTCGTGAAAGCGCGAAATGCTGACAGGCGCTTAATAAATTTCAATAAAATGTTGTTGAAATCAACTAAATGATTTCGGTGCGCTTATCGCAACGAAATAAACGATTACACCAGATTTAAATAAACACTTTACTAATAAACTCAGATTGATTAGTATAAAGTTATGTGAAATTTTAGTATCGGTGGACAAAGCTTTTGATTTTTAAATTTCCATTTTATATAATATATATAATATAATTTAAATTTTATTTTTTAGTTAAATAAGTACAAGTATTTAAGTGTATCTCAAATTTGTTTTTACGAAAATATTCTAATTACGTTCTAGAACGTTATATACTTAATTTTCTTTATAAAAAAAAATATATAAGTAATATCGTTTCATTTTGACTTACCTATTTTAAACGCGGTGACGAATTTTCTTTTATAAACTGGTAACCCTGCAAGAGAAATAATCTTTAAAATATCTAGTCTGTGAAATGTTTTAAAAAGTAGTTCAATTTCCTTTTAATTTTGCTTTACTTTTTTTATTAAATTTATTTAAAAAATTGTTTTATCAAGGTCATTTTAAAAATCTGCAAATAAATATTTTTTATAAAAAAATTTTCTTAAACTTGTTTGACAAAATTAATTCAAATTTTTTACTTAAATTTTAATGAACTAATTAAATATACAAATTTGAAAATTATTAAAAAAAATTATAATTGTATCAAAAAAATTAAAAAACCTGGAAAAATATTTGTTTTAATATTTTGGATTTTAAGAAGAAAGAATTTTAAAATAAAATTAAATTTTAAATCTTATTTCATGTTATGTTATTTACCTAAATCTAGAAATTATATTATTAAAAATCATTTTATCAAAGGCATTTTGAAATGCACCTAACCGCATGGTGCAAAAATTTTAAAAAATATTGCTATAAACTTTTCATGGCAACTCTGCTGGGAAGAGTGATACATTTTTTCGCCTAAAACGTCGTTGCGAATTGAAAACATAAGCAGAAGTTAATTTAATTTATAAAATTGTTTATATGCGTGTAAAATTTCGAAAATAGGTTTTGAAGGAAATGTGAAAATTTTCACTGTTGTGCCCTCTGTCGGAAGTTTTAAGAAAAAGATAAGTGCAAAAATTGATTCCTCATATAAAAAAAAAAAACAACCTTTATAGCATGTTTTTGTACAAAATTTAAGCACTTATTTACAACACTACAGCAAAATTCTAAGAATGCTTTTTCGCAAATTGGCACCTATGGTTTCTTCGGCAAATTTTCTAATAATTACACGTAGCGTCTTTCTGTGCTCTACCCGCATATTCGAAAATATCTCCCATACAAATTGCGCCGCCGTATGGTACATATGTACATGGCAACCCTAATATGTATTTAAATTGACACTCAACACATTATAAAGGACAGACAGAAAAACTAAAAATTCATATAAAATGTCGCACAAGAAGAGAGAATGTCTGAAATCAGTACGCAGCTCTTAAGAAAAAAATGCTCGAATTTTTAATTTTTTGAAGAAAATTTACAGCAACCGAAAAGTAATTTTCTTAGCAACAGAAATAATGAAAAATATTTCTTGTGATTTTTCTTGAGAACTGCATACGTACGGCCTGTAGAGATAAAATCAAATAATATGATGAATCTTGCAACCTCTTTCAGAATGGTTTGAAAGCGAAACAATTACTTTAAATTTCCATACAAAATTTATAAGAAAAAATTATAAAAAAAAAACTTAGAAAAAATTTATTAAAAATGATATAACATATTTTAAAACAATCCAAAGTTTTCCATTCATAAACATTTTCTCACAAGGTCTAAGTAACCTGTTCCATTTACAATCCTAAACCTATACTTGGCAACCCTATTAGATTTAAAATAAGTTTTTACATGCAGGTTCTGAAATTCTCTTTCTAGGGAATTTCAACTAAAGCCACCTTGAATTCAAATTGAATGGGATTGAAATTGATTCGGAAGTGAATTTTAGAACCTGCATGATAAATTCGTAATTACTAAAATATTTTTATTCTAATAAACGCTGGCAACCCTGCTATAATAATATTTAATATATATTTTAGTTTCATTAAATTTAAGTTGTGAATTATCTTTTTTGCTACTGAAAATGATTTCTAAGTCAAATATTTCTTTGAATAAACCTCAGGCAGCCCTGTACAAAAATATTTTAACTTCGAATTTTTATAGAAATTTTTTTAGATATTCTAAAAAATTAATTTTTTCTGTTGGTTTACATAATTCCAAGGATTTGCACGAAAATATTATATTTATAAAAACTAAGCACATGGCAACTCTTTTTGCCTTAAACAAATAATTTTTTTTTTTTAATTTTTTTATAGCTTTTTTGCATTATTTTTCCATAAGAACTCTTTGGCCTAAGCACTCAAATGCTTTAAGGCTGCAGTTAAATATTTCTATTGGAATAACCTGTGGCAACCATGCTAAAAAAAATTGCTAATCTCTTAAAAAGTATTTCTTTCATATTGCGTAAAAAAATACCTTGGAAACGCTATCAATAAAAGCTCCAATTCCTGTCATGAGATTCCTAAAACACAAAGCGGACTTAAAACAAATATAAACAAATTTTACCAAATTTGATTTTTTTCTTAATTGGCAGCCCTCTGAATTGTAGAACGCTTATTGTAAAGCGTAGTATGTATTTTTTCAAGAAAACTAATTAAAATATTCCCAAAACTTAGCTTGAAAGTAATTTTATATAGGTAATTTCGAGTAATTATATGTACATGGCAACCATGCTTGAACAAATTTTTTAGTTTTTATGCATAAATATTTTTTGTATATGTATTAAATTATTCAGTTAAATTTTTATAGCCATTTATCTAACGCAAAACGCTTTTCTCCTCTCCTCTTTGCAGCGCCTTGCCGACCGCGCGTCCACGTTCGACAGAGTCGGCCAACTCAAGCGAGCGTTGTCCGTCGCATGATTCCAACTCGTCGGAAAATGGTCGCGAGAGCCGGGAAAATGCCAACGCAGCCGCCAATGCTGCCGCAGCCGCTGCTGCGAGCGCCGGCATGCTACCGCTTCCACCGTCGATGACCGCTACATTCCCAGCTGCAACACAGAATTTGCCCGCACAGCCATCTTCGATGGAGGCTTATCTGCAAATGGTGGCCGCCGCCGCACAGCAGTATGGCTTTCCGTTGGGTCCAGCCGCTCCAGGCCATCGCTTTCAGCTACCAATGCCCACAGATGCGCCAGCACCATTCAAATTACCTCCGCAAGCATCACCCAATGCCTCGAACAACAATTCGGAGGCACTAGACTTTCGCACGAATCTCTTTGCGCGTGCTGCATCCGCCGAACCCGCACCCTCTGAGGAGGAGGAGGACGACGATGAAGCCAACGATGCTAATAATCCACTGGATCTATCGGTTGGCACGCGTAAGCGTTCAGCCGATGGCGATCGTGAGCCCGACTCCACCATCGGACAGATTCAGGTGAAGAAAATTTTCAAAACCGATAGCCCACCACTGGCAGCACCCCCAACGGTGCAAGCCGCACCGCTCTTGCCCGGAGTAAATCCCTACTTGGCAGCAGTGGCAGCAGCAAATATATTCCGCACCGGTCAGTTTCCCGATTGGAATGGCAAGAATGACTTGGTTGTCGATCCATTGGAGAAAATGTCGGATATCGTGAAGGGACCACGGAAGGAGAAATCTTCGCGCTCTTCAGCGGGCAACACACCAACAGCACCGCCAACTGCTGGGCCACCACCTAATTCTGGTGCTTCTGCTGGCACACAAAATTCGGCAACCACACTGACCGCCTCCACGGAGGGCATGTCCAAGGCCAGACACAACATCTGGCAGTCGCACTGGCAGAATAAAGGCGTAGCCAGCTCGGTTTTCCGCTGCGTGTGGTGCAAGCAGAGTTTCTCCACGCTGGAAGCGCTCACCACGCACATGAAGGACAGCAAACACTGTGGCGTAAATGTGCCGCCATTCGGCAACCTACCCAACACCGATCGCCACCACCAACCACCGCCACCACAAGCGCAGGGTCCGCAGCACTCGCACAGCCACCGCAAACAGCCGAATAGTGGCGGCGGCTCGCAATCGAACTCGTCTTCCGGACCATCAGCGGCGGCCAAAAACGCCTTTCAGTATCGGGGCGATCCACCAACACCACTGCCGCGCAAATTGGTGCGCGGCCAGAACGTATGGCTGGGCAAAGGCGTGGAGCAGGCCATGCAGATCTTGAAGTGCATGCGTTGCGGCGAAAGCTTCCGTTCGCTCGGCGAGATGACCAAGCACATGCAGGAGACGCAGCATTACACCAACATTTTATCGCAAGAACAAACGATCTCAATGAAGTCTTCTGGCGGCGGTGATGCCAAGGATGGACACAACAGCTTGAGCTCCGAAGAGAGTCGCACGCTAAGCGCTGTGCTAACGTGCAAAGTTTGCGACAAGGCCTTCAATTCGCTGGGCGATCTGAGCAACCACATGGCCAAGAATAACCACTACGCCGAGCCGCTGATGCAATCCATGGCAGGTGGCGCTGGCAGCCGCAAGCGCCCGGCACCCAAGAAGCGCGAGAAGTCATTGCCGGTGCGTAAGCTGCTCGAGATGAAGGGCGCACAGAATGAGGCGGAAAGTATGGAGGCCAAGATGCAGCGCAACTATGAAAATGCCAAGCGCATGCCACTCGAGGGCACCGGCATCGGACCGGGCAATGACAAGTCAGATGCTGCACTGTTCGCCGAACGCATGCGTCAATACATAACGGGCGTAAAAGCGGACGACGAGGCGGCCAAGGCAGCGCTAGGCGTTGGCAGTTTATTGAACAAAACCAAGTCACCTGATTTGGAGCCGAAAAATGGCGCCACTAAGTCAACAGCAGGCTCATCGTCTGTGCTCAGCGCCATCGAGCAGATGTTCACCACCAGTTTTGATACGCCACCGCGTCACGCCAGCTTGCCGGCGACCAGCCCATCCAATTCGTCGACCAAGAATACATCGCCCGTGGCCTCAAGCATACTGAAGCGGCTGGGCATCGACGAAACTGTCGACTACAATAAGCCATTAATAGACACTTCGGATCCATACTATCAGCATTACCGTTATACGAGCAGCGAGCGCAGTGGCAGTGAGTGCAGCGCTGAAACGCATGTCGAGGCTAGGAAAATGGATGTAATCACGCCGGAGAAGTTGCAGCCAACAGAGGTGATGTCCATGGAGCAGAAATCGGCTGAGATGAGGCGCGAGTTGGAGGCACTCAAGCAGAAGGCCGAGCAGGCAGATGCACTCATGGAACAAGCGCCACAAATCAAAATGGAGATCAAGTCTGAGGTGGAGGAGGAGGAGCGTGGCGATGAGAGTCCACAAAACGGTCGAGATGGCAATGAAAAGTCGCAGCATGTTGCCAATGGCGCTGAATTCTCTATATCCAACAACAACAATAACAACAACAAAGAGCGTAGCGTTACACCACCCAAATCGGCTGGTCCCGTTAGCCCGGTATTGCACAAAGCGCTTACACCGCGCAGTCCCACCGACAGCCACCGGTCCGCTACACCCAAATCGCCAGCATCCAGCATTAAGTCCTACGATGGTGAGAAGAAATATCCAAGCGATTCGCTAAATGCACTCTCCTCCATGTTCGACTCGCTAGGCAGTTCCAGCAACACCACCACCACCACCACGCCCAGCAGTCGCGCACAGGCACCGATAATGCCGTCGTCGTTAAGCAATAAAATCGATTCACCCGAAAATCTCACCACTTCCAATTCGCTTGCTGCTTTACGTCAATTTTGCATAAAAAAAGAGAAAACCGCTTAAATCGCAGCTTTTTGTTTTTCGTCTCGCGAGAGAGAAACAGATTTCAAAAATTTTTTGTTTGCCACCTGACGCCCTGGGTGTTGGGCTTTTTTGTGTACGAGTGGGGCGCGCGCGCGCGCTGCGGACGCGTCGTGTCCGCCGAATGCATTTAACAGGCCGCACTCTGCCGTCGCCGCACAAGGCTTGTGAGTTGCGGAAGCCGGATTAGAAAAAAATATAAAATTAAAAAAAAAAAAATCAAAAAAAACTATAAAAAATACGTATAAAAAAAAAGAACACAAAAAACTTTTTGAGTGTGTGACTTTCGACCGCACTGCTTCACAAAGAAATTGATGAAGCGTCATTACAAAGGTGAGATAACTAAGACTCCAAGAAAGTCAAAATAAATGCGATGCTTCAAAGTGCGGAAAGCAAGCAGCTTTGAGGAGAGCGAACGAGCGAGCGAGCAAGGAAAATGTACGAAAATGAGTCCAACCGCGTGGAATGGGCTCCTGCGTGGGCGAACAAAAATTAACAGCTGCGAACGGCTTTGCGGCTAAGTGTGGGAATACTCAACGTCTGCGCCAGGGCCACTGGCGGTTTTCCCCAACACAGAGAGCTTGTACGGGCAGGAAGACAACAACAGTACGGAAGCAGCAGCAAACATTTTTTAATAGAAGTGAAAAACAAAAATATTACCACGATGATGACGAGGAACAATGAGGAACCTATATATTCACTAAATGACCGAGGCAAATGCAATAATCAAGCAGCTTCGCCAACACAACGCGAGGTGAGTGATTATTTACAAATATTTTTGAAAAACTAAAAAAAGAGAAGAGAAGACGCTATACAAACCCTGAGCTCTGGGAAGCTCTGCATTTAGTTGCTGCAAAACAAAATAACAAAATCAGTCAGGGGCCTGTGCCATGAGAAGTGACCAGTAAGCTATGGCACATAAGTTTTAGGCAGTCCAATCTTCCGAGGTTGAGGGCAACATGAGTTTCGGCCCACCTAAACACTTTCGCAGCTATTTTGGTTAGACATTCGAAGAATTCTGAGCTCAAGAACGTTTGCCTTTTTTTTTTTTTGCAAAGTGCGGGACATTCTCATAACAGGTGCCGTTAGGTTTCTGGCTCCGTTTCTCTGGCAGCTTCTGCAGAAGTCGTTGCGGGGAATCCCTTGCCGCTCCGCAGGTCCATGACTGAGACTAAGCGCCCTCTGCTTAGCATTTGGAGAGCTTTCGACCGCTTTTCGTTCCATTTTGGCCACATAATCTTTTGTATTGCTGCAAGTTGTGAGACTGAGCGATTGGGCTGACTTGCAAGCCAGCGGCATGCCTAAACCTCTCCGGGATTGCGAAAGTTGAACGGATGTGCCCACAATGCAGATTATAAAGGTGGCGCCATTCGCGCCCCGCTAACCCTCTCTTCGTCGATTTGACAGCATCCACGCATTCGCTGACGTCACAAAATACTTGTGTTTGAATTCACTGTTGCCAACTTTTAGAATTTAGAGAAATAACGCAATTTTTTTTTGGGGGGTATTAGTGCTCTTTCAAATTCAAAACTTGGCAACACTGCCGTTTGTTCGCTTTTTCCTCTTCTTCTTGTTGAGTTCATCTTTGCTCTCTCATTCTCCAGCAAGTTCGCCCGCCATCAAGTGCTTTAAGTGCCGCCTAACTCTCTGAGTAGCTGAAGATATTGTTACATACTACTTCTCGTTGTTTGTTAGTGTTCAATCGCCGCCTGTATGGCTGGGACCTCTGCTTGGAAACGCTGCAATTGTAGGGTAGGCGACATGGTTTTTCCAGCCCAGTAGCCCAGCAGGGCTGAGTGCAGTTTCGCTGTCACTATTGGAGTTTCCTGCTGCACCTCCATCTGTTTTCCACCACGTAGTCCATGGCTTTGAGGATTGCGATTACTTTGGCCTGAAAGTCCTAGGCGTATTCTCGAAGAGAAAAGTGGAGCTCATCTCGATTATATTTGATATATCACTAAGATCCTGAAAATAAGCAAGTGTCTATGCAGTGGCATACGAAAGGTGCATTCCCTTCTAATGAATTTGAGGTCTCTCTCCATCCGCCGGAAAGATCATAGCCACAGTGTTTTGAGACTCGAAAGTAATTTTATTGATTGAGTATACGAAGAAGAGTTAAGCCATTAACGCAGCATCCTACGCTACCAGTTTTGCATAATTTCAGATAAGCAATTAAGGAAAAAAGAACGGGCAATACTGACTGACCGTTGTGTTGCTTAATCACGTCAACGCTTCTAAGAATTATCTCGAAAACTAAAGGAGAAATCCAAAAACTGTTAACACCAATCGAAAGATTTTATTTTAAAATATGTAATTGCATCTATAATTTATAATTGTCAAAATGGCTCTTGCGAGAATCTTTTATCCAGGCGGCAATATCTATTAGGAAAGCGCAGGATTTCGAAAAATCCTCTTTTAAATTATTTAAATCCGGTGAGACCTTTAGAAACAAGCCTTGAAATGATGGTCCAGGCGTTTGGGGTTTGATTGCAAATAGAGGTGTTATCTTCATTTTATTTCGAATATTTTTTTTTTTTTTTTTTTTTTACTTTCATTCACGCATTTCAAATCTAACCTTAAAATATTACAAGCATTTTTAAATTATGTTGCACGTATATTGAAGAGGATTGCTCTTTCAAATCCGTACTTGAAATCTCGCTCAGCGCTTTGAACCAATTTCATATATAATCCTATCCCCCCATAAAAATTAAAATTTTGAATTAAAAAATTTATTTCGATTTTGCCTAAAAAAAATGTATTATTATTTTTTTTTTGAGACTTCAAGAAAGAATGTATTAGAGAAACACCAACAATGAAAATTCAAGAAAACAATTTGCAATATTTATTACGAAGATCGAGCAGAATGCAGCCAATACGATATATGTAAATATACAGTCTCTATAAGTATAAAAAAAACAAAAACTATTTGTTCACCGAGGTTCGGTATGATCGGTCGCTGAATACGAATCTGAGCGAAGAATTCAAAAATTGGTTAATTTTTCTACTTAACCTCTAAAGGTCTTTCTGTTGTATATATCCTAGACCTGATAGACCTGTCCAACCGTTATAAAATGGAGGAAAATGTTTTTTATTGAAAAACACAAAAATATATTTGTATTTAAAAAATGGACTTCTGATCAGTTTAACCCATGGAAACCCGTAGACGTTAATACGACCAAAAGATGGAGCATGCCCGACTTGATATTTAGTTCATATTCTTGCGGTTTGAAATAAAATGAATATATTCCTCCATTTTAGAAGGGGTGGACGGGTGGTCTTGGACATCCTAAATATTTATAGAAAATACCTAGAAAGAAAACACTTTCAAACATTTGAATTTTGAACTCATAAGCGGCTTCAGTGGCCCTTAATTATAATCTGTATATTCATACATATGTACATATATCGATATGTATAAGCATTATTCGCCGGATAATTTTATTCTGTGGGGTACTCTGTTTAGTCGTTCTAAAAATGATTCCTTAAAATACATTTTGTATGTAAATACATAACATATATTTTTAATAAAACTGTTTATTCTTTTCTTCTACTTACAGGTGTTAACAGTTGCGAGATCTACAGGAGAAAAAAAAATCAGCCGACTGTATATCGTAGTTTGTGTATGAGCGTTAAATACTCCCGATATTACAAAAAAAAAAAAATAATCACCAATCCTTGACGCTCTATGTCAGCATTTAAGACAGCGATGCGCAGAGAGAGCTTTTACTCTGCACGCGCCTATGGAAAATGTATAGATAGTTTAAAAGAGCTTTACCCGCGGGCAAAGAAGTGCCCATCAGTGATTTAAGATGAACTCTTCGAGAACGCGCACTAGAAAGCTATATAAAAGGGCGATGCATGTATGAAATCCCTAGAAAGCTTCAAAGAGCTCCTTTGCGAGATATCCTTGGTCGCGACTGCTGACTGGCGGAAGCTATGGTTTAGAGAGAGGTGGATGCCAAAAGAACTGAGTAGGTATGCCGCTATTACCGATATAGCCAACCACTTTTGCCGAGTGAAATCCCTGCCAACCAACGATGGCCGCTGTGAATCAATGGATATGGATACAGCCAGAGGTTCAGCTTTGTGCGCGTCCATACATACAAAATCTAAATAAAGCATTAAAAAGCTTTTATCTTGAGCCCTGCGAAACAGCGCAGAACAGAAAAAACTTGTACTCTCTGCTCGTCCATACAAAATCTACAGAAAGCTTAAAACACATTATCCCGCTGAGTTTTTTTCTTTTGTCGTGAAGGTACCAGCTGACAGTGCAAAACCCGGCGTTTTAACTTATCTGAAGTTTTATGAAAGCTGTGAAAGCTCGTACTAGAATACTGTACGCCAGTGATGCTCAGAGAGGGCTTTTTATTCTGTGCGCATGTGAAAGCCTGCAGAAAGACTGCCGCTAACTTCCAAGAACGCTGTAAAAAAAAGCTCAACAGGATTGTCTATGGAAATGAAGGGCGATCTCAACCTCTTCATGCCCACATCGAATCTAAATAAAGCTTTAAAAAGATTTGAATGCCGGCTACGTTCTGGTCCCTATTGACTTATGAAGTGACCAGCTCTGCTGCAGTTGGACAACAAACCATGGATAGCGGAAGCACGCTTTAAATGAGACAAACGCGCAAGTGAAAGCAACCTCTAGAAGTGAAAGCATTTCATGACAATCGCAAGCGGCAAAAGCTAAGAAGCAAGAGGGGATGGAGCAGCAGCAGCAGCAGCAAAAAACAACAACAACAAAAACAAAGCCCTTTTAAGGGCTACAAGCAAATAAACAAAGAGATCGAAAAATGTGTTCAGTTTCTTGGGTGGGACTCAAAAAGGACGCATTTTTAGGTGCGTAAATTTGCCGACGGCAAAACCGCGCCACGGCAATGTAGCAAGCAAGTAGCCAACTATTTAAGTTGGGCCAGCCTGTGAGTGTATGAGCGAATAAATGAATGAACGAATGAGTGTGTATGTGCGTGTGTGTTGGTTGCGCTCAATTGGCAAACATGTACAATAATCTGTTGCTAAGCCAGCTGCTGTTTGCCACATGTGGCACAATACTCGTAGTTAAATTATTGGCTAGACAATAACAATGCCATTTAGCGTAAGCAAATATGTATTGAGATGTACATACATATGTATGTACACGAATTAAGCTACTAAAAGTTTGTGTATTTGTGGAGATTGCTTTTGCTCATGAATTTCATGTTGGCTTATTGTCGTTTGCGGTATGCGCCGGCGCAAGTGCATATCTATTTACTTACAAATAAACAACACTTGTATGCATATGTGCAATACATACATACATACAAATGTGCAAATATTCATATACAATTGCCTAGTGATAATTCCAATCACAGTTGTTTGACCATAAGTTGCGCTTGTAATTTGCCCCGAATGTCCCATGATGCCATGTGCCATGAGTGTCGGCGCGATTATGTGTCGTCGGTCAGTCGTTCCGATGCTGGGCTGTCATGCAAATGGTGTGCGAGCATAATCCA